GTATTAGAAATTGAGACTTTGTTTCATGTAAAAAAGAGTAAAATTATCAGCATTGTATTCATATCATAAGTATCACTAATACTGATTCGCTGAATTATTAAAAAAATAAAAATAAAAAGATTGCTGGGAATATATCATTCTTTCAAAATATGATTACTGTAAACTACTCGCATGCGTGTAGTCTCTCAAAAATATGACCATAGTGTACACTATTTAATTTATGTATATGACATTTCATTTTTATTTTTTCATCGAAATAGCAAATGTGATATTCTCAAGTACATTAATGATCATATTTCTTTATTTAGGCGTAGCATTAGGAGCGTAGCAGCTGATAGTACTATTGAACCTGTGGAAAGAAAGCGTATTTTGCATCTGAATGCAGAACAAAACAGGTTAATTGTTCCTTCAGTTAGTAAAATCAGTAAGAGGCCAAAAACTTAAGCAAATTCATAGTGATGTGTAAAAAGGATTTAGTTCTAGTTTTGAAATAATATAACTGATTGTTCAATACTGGTAGTGACCTCAAGATATCAAAAAATTGTTGAGAAATAGTTGGAACAATTTTCTGATTGCATAATTATTTTTCATAAATTTTAAAACTTATGTTATTGTTTTCATGTGATTAATGTATTGTTTTTTTCTCAGCTTTGTAAATTTTTTCAGACGTTTTGCATTGAAAGATGGTTTTGATCAATTAGTTAATTTGTTACCCAATTTATATGGTAGTGGTACGAAACCAACAAATGCAGTTGTGTTGGTACGTGCAGCAGAACGTATACGTGAATTGAAAGCAAATATAGAACGTAATCATGATAAAGCTAAGAAACTGAAAGACCATATACAACGATTAAATAGCAAGATCGAGTGAGTGTTTTTTGAAAAAACTACTTTTTTTGAGTTTATATTGTTAAAGATGTTCAAACCCTTCAAGAAATGCAATATGACTTTTCATTTTTAATTTCATACTACCCTTGGTATATTCAAATGTTTTCAGAGTTAGTTCAGTTTATCTTGATTATAAAAGTATTGTAGTTCTTCATAATGTAAATTGTATTTTTTATATTTTCAAATATGAATTTTAAGAACACTGCAAGCTTCGTTACCGTCCTCATCAGGTACTGTCATTAGTACGATTACTCAAAAAACTGAAATCGAGCAGTTTCTTCTACGATATACAAAAGAGCGAACGCGTGAAGACTATCGTTTTTGGATAGTAAGTTTATGTTTTCTCTTAAGTTTTCGGTGATATCTTTAAAAATATTTAGTTTTGTACGTTTTATGGTTTTTCATACTTATATCATCAGAAATTTTCTAAGATATAAGATAAAGTTATTCCTTGGTGATGGATGGTCTCGGTAAATTAAGTTTGCAAACCATATTTAGCGAAAATATTTTCATAGAAATATAGCTCGCGTGCGCAGAAGTGAAAACAGTGACTTTTATTGATTTCAGACTTGATTTGATTCAAGAAAGATCTATCAAAATAAGTAGTAGATAAAATCCTGAAAAGATCTAAGACAGATCGTTCCTGACTTATTAATCTAAGGAAATTTGACAAAAGCAGAAAAATTGTTTCGTTTTGATTAATATTTCAAAGTTATTTGATTGAATCATGTAGTCTAAATTTCGATCTTAGATATCAGAACTGTATAATCCATTCATTTATAAAGTTGTCATGAAATTGGTGTTACAGGAGAACAATTCAAAAGTTTTATTAAAACATGGATTTTATGATATTGAAATGAAGTATGTGGTGCTTATTTTGGTGATAATTTTTGTCAAAACTGTTTTTCTTAAAACGTAATTTTTGCTAAATTTTTCAGATGGCTAAAATGTTGCAACCATTGCTAGAGATATTGATTGGAAAGCTCAGTGAGCTACCGGCTGATCAAGCTTTAGTTGGAACAAGTGATTGGTTGCGAGAACACTGGCAGCCTTCAGTTTTGAGACCATATGCTTCATCGATGCTAGTGTATTTAGCAACTCACACAAGTATATTGACTGATCCAACTGCATTACGAGAATATATTCAGAAGGAATTATCTCGACTGTGAGGAACTGACGCTTTCACTTTTTATATCAGGCAATTATATTCAGTCTTTGTCACATTATCTCTGCTATTGTATAGAATGACACTGTAATTGGTCGTCTTCGTCTTATGAAGTAAACATTAAAGTGTTAATTTCATTTATAGTTTTTTTTTTTGATATCGTCATACACTTAGTACAAAGTATTCAGACGTAGAAGTCATGAAGTGCATTATTTCGAATTTTGGATTTTTTGGTCAATGTATTCAAGATGGCTGTCTCCATTCTATTCAAATGAGTTTTGTTTTCATGGAACTAAAATTTTTCGTCTTTCTTTAGTAATGTTATTTTAAGGGATTATTTTTCAACTCAGAGATTTCAGTACCAAAAAATTGGTCCTCTTCTAAAAGTTCTCAACCGACTATCAATCTAAATTAAACTTCCATTAGTCAAAACATTAGATACGAATATCTTTCCATGTTAATTCTTTCCACATAAATTTTTCTTAGCAGTTCATATTTTTTCGGATAAAATTTTTCGGTTT